TTGAATTTATGAATTCAATTTATATTCAATTAAGTTATTGAATTTTGAAACACCCTGTAGATCAATAGTAGATTATATATAATAGGAACTGTATAATACTTGTCCATTTAATTTAAAATACTTTATTGATTTTAAAATACGAAGTAAACGATATGAAGAAAACGAAAATACGAAGAAAAATAAGAATTTGTGTACATGATCTATACATTTTTTTGAAAACTAAATTTATCATCAAAATATGAAATTTTTAAATACATATTTTTGTAATTAAAATTTTTTAAGTATCTTATAATTTTTTAAATTAAATTTTAAATTCAAATTATTCTTCTGCAATAAGGTTACTATTAAATAATAAGAAAAAAAAATGAGAGTTCCGGCTCGTCTTGTATCTGCAAGTGAAGCGTACGATCGAAAGTATTTCGGAGCAGATTACCTCATTCCTTGGAAATGAAAAGGGAAGGATTCTTTCATGGCAAACTAAACTTGAGTCTTTATGTCGTTGAAAAAATTCGACAGGGAGCCCACTCTTTTGCCAGCAGAGTGTTTCCGGTAAACACGCTGTCACGACGACCGAAACAAAAACAGATCTCGAAGAAATCTTGTAACTTCGAATTTAACAAACGTTAAGAAGTATACAGGGTGAGGCAGGCCGCGTGATATAACCGAGCAGGGGGAGAATCTACATGTAAAAATAAACCTAAAATAAAGAATACAATTTTTTCGTTTGAAGCTTCGTTTTCGAGAAAATTAGGTTTGAATATCTATCGAGTACGCGTGCATTTGACTATCTCCGGGCTTTATGTTTGTACTAATAAACAGTGTTAATGTCATGATAAATACGAATAATACATTTATTAACGATTTTATTGTTTTATACATACATACATTACTGAATGATCTATTGAAAGGGGCCTGCTTGCTGATGCATACAAATTCTTACTCTTCGAATCAAAGAGTCGTAGACTAATGCCACGTTTGACGCTTTACTTGTTCGAAAGCTTGTACAATTCTTTCGTTTAGCTGCAGAAAATTGATACTATTTTCCGCGTAGACTATTTCTTTACCAAATGTGAGATTACCGGTGCTTATCAACATAAAAGTACAAACGGAAGCAACAGTTTATAAGAAATCTTTAAATTCAATTTTCTCGAAACCTAAGCCATTTATGAAAAAATTTTATTCTTTAATTTCAGATTATTTAATTATATATATTGATTATAGATATACGAAAATCTATTTATTTTTACGTATAGAATCATCCCCTGCCTGGTTGTACCACGCGACCTGCCTCACTTTATGTATACAAACATCAGGATATCAATTAAAATAAATTCAAGCAATAGAATAATTACAATAAATAGAATGATATAAATATCTACTACAAAAATATATTTTAAAATAGAAGAGTATCATATACAAATGCAGTATAAAAATTACAATAGTAATGCATTATTGCTAAATTATATTTATAATCTTTGTACAATAGAAGATTTCTTTACTACATGTTTCTTGGCTTCATTATGCTTCATTATATATTATAATAGTTTGAATAATTATTTTTTTGTTAATACCACGTATCGTAGGTCATTCTTCACCCTATATTCCCTTAATCTTTTGCAATGTCGTAAAACAGTTAACAGATTTAATTTCATTTTGTTTAATTTAGTGTTTGTATGCTTCTCATAATCTTCACCAGTGAAGAAGTACACATATTCTGAAATACAATGAACTTTTATATTTTTCCAAGCAAATGGATAGTTCAATTGTGGAAGGAAACCCTTACCATTGTCATTGCAAATGTCCAAGTCTTGTTTTTTATAATTTAAGAAAATATTTAATTTGCCTTGCTTTCTGGCATGAGCTTTACCCAGTGATAAAAATGTGTATTTTGCTTTTAATATCTGATTAATGGTGTCTATCAGATTATTTACGGTGTCTAAGGACTGTCTTCCTATAATATATTTTGGAACTTTATTGAATTCATCTATGCTTATCAAAAGTATCATAGGGCAAACTTCAAATTCATTAAACAGTTTTTTTTTACAATCTTTTATTGGAGTTTCCAATTTTGTTGTATCATTGTTTATTTTTGATATTTGCAATTCCTTCACTAGTTTCTCCTCAGAAGAAATATTTAGTAATAAAGAATTCTCAGTATTATGGTAATCACGAATCAATTCAAATGGAACATTTTGTTCCATATGAAGGATTTTCGTATCCAGGGTCTTAAGAAGTGACAGTAATTCCTAGATTTTTTATAAGATTTTTATATAAAACTTACAAAACTTACTTAAAGCTTTATATAAAACTATATCAAAAACATTACTTAAAGAATGGTTAAAAATATTAAGGAACCTACTCTACACTTATTGTTCTCCTCCTTCATTTCATTTAGTCTCTGTTTCATACTTTCAATGCCACTACACATCTCTGAGACAACTGTACGCATTTCAAAGAATTCGTCCTTCATTACACCTTTGCCTACATGTAGAATAAATTTTATAAATAATTAAACACTATATAGTATTTAAGAGAATGTGAAATTAATCTTACTTTTAATAAATACAGTCGCCGTTTCGAGATCTCGTAATTTTTCACACTTTCTTATCAAAATTTCTTCCAAAGAATAAGTAGTCGTCATTTTTAGATTTTTGAAACGAATTTTATTTTCAAAGTCGCACTTTGTAACAAGTCAATTATGAACAACAATTTTTCAAAACAAAAATTACAAACAACAAAGAATAATCAATTTTATTCAACTTGGAAATAACGGTCACTTCTGTTGCCGTTCAGAAACTTCAAATTCACTTTAGCGCCGTTTACATATGACGTACTTTATTTGAATTCTTAAAGCCTCGTTTAAATAAAAAATTATACTTTATTTCAATGCACAAATCAGTTGCAAATAATTTTACTTAATAAAGAATTTACCTATTTACACACAACAGCTATGAAATATGTAAAAAATATATATATATATTTTAAATTAATTATTAAATTATG